CGCCCCTGATTTCTTATACGAATACATAGTAAGAGAGTGTTCCAACATGAATGTTATGCTGTGGTTAATGTTTTACATACTGCTTTTATTTTATTTTCTACAAAGTGGGTTTCAGCGCAAACTGGGTTTCAACAAACTGGGATTCGTAGTTTTTGATGCAGTAAACTGGCATTCGGCAAACTTTGTTTTGGCAAAGTGAACTCGAAAATATAGCAGTCGGCAACCTGCGGTTCTACAATCTGGCGTAGAACCACCAAGAAGAAGCCGACACGAACGTCTTCCTGTATGCAAAGCATGCTTTACCGAATAAAAACCAGGGCATAGCAATCATCCGTTCCCTTTCTCGGGACATCGATATTACAGACAATTACACCCAAGCTTTCTTTCGTAAAGGAAAACGTAGCTTCAGTATTCGCAAACTGTGTTTGTTGAAACTTTCAGCAACTTTGGAGTTTTAGATGTTCTGTCACAAAATTTGTCTAAAGGACAAGAATATGTCTTAGGCCTACTGCTGCTTGGAGTTAAGGAGAAAAGTGTAAATCAAGCAAGTAACATGTTCAATAGAAAGTTTTGCAGAGACAAGATCACTGACATATCATTGTTGTCACCATATTAGCAGAATCTCGAGCTTCTGCAGATACTTAGAAAACTTAATCGTTAGAGAATAAAAATAAGCAGAGGTAAATGACGGTCATTAAAAATAGTTGATGGAACAGATGGAATAAACAAATTCCCGTGGAAGTCCAAGAATTGTTCATACAATAAATACGAAGACTTTCAGATTGCAGTGATAAAAGTGATACGTGAAGATTATTGCTTAACATAGGGCTACACAGTTAAACACTACAAGACAAATATGTAGTAAATGAATTGATGCCTTCTTCATACATGAAAATTGTGGTTGTTATCTGGAATGCGCACACAGAAATAATGAAAAAAACCGGATATTTGTAAGGAAGCTGGAATTTTTTTTAAGATTCTGGTGATATTTTCCATTCTTCAAAACAGAAAAGGGCTAATATAAGGGGGAATTTTTACTTACATTTTCAAAAGTGAGTTAGCTTACACCCCTAAAATATGTTGTTTTAGGTTTAAAAAGTCAACAGCAGCTATTACATTCATGTTTTGTAAGTTAAACAAATTTATCTAGGGTATTGAAGCTGCTGTTAAGTTGTTATTTAATTTTGGCGGCCATTTAATAAAGCGCCCTCAATTACCTCTCGAAATCTTCACATTAATAACTTTAGCTAGTTATACTTTACTCCTATCATTACAAATTCAAAAGTTGGTCAAACCCTACCTCTTCTGTGCTTGTTTTACCCATATATATGTAGTTTAATGGATTTTGGTGGGCATTTTAAAAAGGTGCCCTCACGCGAAAGTTCTCAGGTTACACCCCTTTTACCTCACATATTCTGATTCCCCATAAAAAACCTGGTCCAGAAAAACCATATGAAAATTTCTACCTCTCCAAGTGGCACCTCTCTCAATTATAGCCTGGTCTAAATGGAATTTTATCTTTTTTTTTTGTTTTGAGGACGGATATCGATTACCTTGACCTTGATCTTGACTTAGTTTATTACTATAATAATAGTAATATTATTAATATTATTTTTATTAATATTATATTATTATTATTATTATTATTACTATTTATAACACTTTTATTCAATAAACATATAAAAACATTACAAAAATTGAAAAAAGAAAAAATTTACATACCTCCCAAGATATAAAGAGAATACAAAACATTGCAAACAAGAGAAGACAAATAAATCGTTATTATTATTGTTATTATTATTATTATTATTATTATTATTATTATTATTATTATTATTATTATTATTATTATTATTACTATTATTATTATTATTATTATTATTATTATTATTATTGTCGTTTCGTCAAATTATGTAGTAGGGTGTAATTTTGTATATTTTTTTAGTTAATATTATTACTATTATTATTATTATTGTCGTTTCGTCAACGTCGTCGGTTGTCATCGTCGTCATAGTCAATCGTCAATTTCATTTTTATCATCATTCATTTCATTTTATTATCATTTTATTTCGACACCTCCATAAAAATTACAGAGTATACAATGTGGACCCTATTACAACATAATTCCATGCTCAATACATATTACAGAACAAAAGAACGGATATATATATAT